AGAGAGAGAGAGAGAGAGAGCATGAACAGGGGAGGGTCAGAGAAAGAGGGAGACACAGAATCTGAAACAGCCTCCAGGCTCTGAGCTGTCAGCACAGAACCCAATGCAGGGCTCGAACCTATGGACCGCGACATCATGACCTGAGCCGAAGTCGGACGCTTAACCGACTGAGCCACAGGCGCCCCAGTGTGTGTCCATATTTAATGAGATGTTGGTATATGTCATGCTTATCATCAAAAATTTTTTTGACCTGTATTCTTTTTGGTCTCTTCTGCTTTTCTGTTGTGTCTCTGTTCTTCTTTCTTTGAATATGTTTGCACATTTCATGGATATAGAAGTTTTTAAGACCCCTGGCTACTACTACTAACATGTGTGGCCACAGATCAATTCAACACCAGTCAGTCACTCTTCTTTTGATGCTCCATTGTCCTTGGTCAGTGGGAACTCCTTAAGCTGACTGTCTTGTCCTTTTGACATGACCTGTTTGGTTTTGAGTACTTCCTAGCCAAGTAATATCTTTTAGGCTTACTTTGAACTTTGCTTCTCCTTCAGACCCGGAATTTATTACTCTTTAAAAATCACAAGATAGACTGTTAACTATATACTTTCATATAATAAATTGTTTTGTTTTAAAGGAAATTAGGATTATACTATTCATAATACTCGACTTTTTTTTTCATTTAATATGTTGGAGATCATGCCATATTGATATATGGATAGGTTCAATATTCCTGTCTATAGGAATGATAAATCATGCTCTTACTAACTATTCTATTGGTTAAGGGATACTTAGATTTATAATAATTGTTTGCTATCACACTCTTGTTATATTAATATTTTATGTACGTTTGAGCAATTTTTGTAGGATAGTTATAAGGTTGAAGTATATACATTTAAAATCTGATTAAAAGCTGCCAAATTGTATCTTAATAAGACTGTGTACCAATTTATACAGTCTATAAAATATATGATTATTTAATTTTGCGTTTTTCTGATTATTGAGATAGCATCTTTCTGAATACTTGTTGGCTATTTATTTTTTTCCAGTGAACTACTTGTTTATATCTTATGCTGGCTTTTCCTTAATACTGTTTTTCTTTTTTTTTTCCCTTATGTTAAAGATCTTGCCTTTCAGAGTCTATTGCTTGCCTTTGACATTTATTTGTTTTGTTTTTGGCTATATGGATGTTTTCCTTTTTTTAAAAAATTTTTTTTAATGTTTATTATTTTTTGAGAGAGAGAGAGACAGAGAGCAAGCAGGGAAGGGGCAGAGAGAGAGGGAGACACAGAATCGGAAGCAGGCTCCAGGCTCTGAGCTGTCAGCACAGAGCCTGATGCGGGACTCGAACTCACAGACCGTGAGATCATGACCTGTGCTGTAGTGGGCTGCCCAACTGACTGAGCCACCCAGGCGCCCCGGATGTTTTCCATTTTTAAATATAGTCAGATCTGTCATTTTTCCCTTAAAACTTATGGGTTCATAAAGTTAAAAAAAACTTGACTCAAATCATACAGAAATTTGTTTTTGGTTATTAGATGAGGAAGAAAAATGATCTCCCCTACCACCCTGTAGGCTGATAGATCCAGTTGTTTCTAACATCACTTACTGAATAGTCCCAGCTCACTGGTTTGTGGTGCCATATATAAAAATTCTTATAGATACCTGTATTTCTGGACCCTCTCTTCTTTTTTTTTTTTTTAAATGTTTTATTATTTTTGACAGAGAGAGAGACAGAGAGACAGAGCATGAGTGGGGGAGGGGCAGAGAGGGAGGGCGACACAGAATCCATACAGGCTCCAGGCTTTGAGCTGTCAGCACGGAGCCCTATGTGGGACTCAGACTCACCGACCACGAGATCATGACCTGAGCCGAAGTCGGATGCTCAACCGACTGAGCCACCCAGACCCTCTTTTCTATTAATGTGTTTTATTATTTCTTTGCCAGTACTTTTTTGTTTTGACTTCTTTAGATGAATAGTATATTGGTTCTCAGACTCAACTACCGATTAGTGAATAGCTCTGCTATTCAGCCTCAGCTTCAGTGCTACTGTATATGAATTTGAGCCCAGTGTTGCTAGAGCCTTTGATTTTTTTTTAAGAAGCCTGAAATCTGAATGTTTATGTAAATTTTCTGATTTAAAAATATTTACAATTTAATTCATAGTTTTTTTTTTTTTTTTTTCTTATAAAACATTGGGTAGACCATAATATATATTCCTTGACTTCAGCCAATCTTGGGCTTCTAGTTTGGGATCTTTTATAAAATTTGTTTTAATGTTTATTTATTTTTGAGAGAGAGAGAGAGAGACAGAGAGAGACAGAGTATGAGTGGGGGGATGGGCCGAGAGAGAAGTAGACACAGAATTCGAAGCAGGTTCCAAGCCATCAGCATAGAGCCGGATGTGGGGCTCGAACTCATGAACTGGGAGATCATGACCTGAGCCAAAGGTCACGCTTAACTGACTGAGCCATCCAGGTGCCCCTAATTTGGGATCTTTTAAAACAGGTTGACCACAGGACAAGGCAAATCTCACTTCATTATTGTTTTTTGGAAGTGTTTTTTGGCAGATTTTTGTCTTTATTCTTAGATTTTTATAACCTGCTTGTCAAGTTATATTAAAAAATTTTTGCTTGTGTTTTGTGTGGGACTCTAGTGAGTGTAGTAGATTAATTTGGAGACTAATAGCTTTACAGCATTACAGTTTCCTGTACAAAAACATTGTTTCTTTCCATTCATTCAGATCCAGTTTTATTTTCATCATATTTTTAAATTTTCTTCTATTGGCCTTGTATATTTCTTGTTAAGGCATTTTATTGTTTTTGTTGCTGTAGTATATGGGAGCTATTAAAAATATCATGCTTCCTGTTTGGTTATTGCAGGTATTCAATAAAAATAATGATGCTTTTAATTATATAGTATTATTCTTGGATAGTTAGTATTTCATTTCTCTGAAGCCTGGGAGTCTTGCTGAATTTGGTAGTTCGTAACATATATATGAATATAGGCAGTCTTTTAATTTTTAAGTTATAAGTAAAGTTAAGATTTGTGTTTTTTCCTCTAAAAATGTTGATTTGAATCTTCAGACAAATGAGAATTTTTGACTGAAAACTAATTACAAGTAAGAGACTACAGTTTTGTTTTGTTTTGTTTTTTGAGACTACAGTTTTCTAAGAATTATTTGGAATAGGTTTATTTTCAGGCGCAGCTCAAGTGGTACCTTTTTAGAAAGACGCCTTTACTATCTTTCAATCCTGATTTAGCGACCCGTTAACTACATTACTCTAGGACTCCATTTGTGTAGTACTTTATCCTACTGCTTGCTTGACTATGTTCTCCAAAAGTCTGTCTAAGTTCCTTTCTGAGAGGAGTTATATCTTAAATTTTTTTGATGTTTATTTTATTTTTATTTTTTTTTAATTTTAAAAAAATGTTTATTTTTGAGAGAGAGGGAGAGACAGAGTGTGAGCAGAGGAGGGGCAGAGAGAGAGAGGGAGACACAGAATCTGAAGCAGGCTCCAGGCTCCGAGCTGTCAGCACAGAGCCCAATGTGGGGCTCAAACTCACAAACCATGAGATCATGACCTGAGCTGAAGTTGGACACTTAACCATGTGAGCCACCCAGGCGCCCCTGGAGTTGTATCTTGACCTGAGCTGAAGTCGGATGCTCAGCTGACTGAGCCACCCAGGCACCCCTGATGTTTGTTTATTTTTGAGAGAGAGAGAGAGCGTGAGCAGGGGAGGGGCAGAGAGAGAGGAGACACAGAATCTAAAGCAGGCTCCAGGGTCTGAGCTGTGAACACAGAGCACAATGTGGGGCTCAGACTCACAAACCATGAGATCATGACGTGAGCTGAAGTTGGATACTTAACCATCTGGGCCACCCAGGTGCCCCAGGAGTTGTATCTTAATGTATTTGTTATAGTTTTTATTGTTAAAGTCCAGTGCCTTACCTAACATCTAGTACATAGAAGCATAAAATCAATTGAACGTATGGACATTAACATTGAAAAGGAGGGTATGTACCATTACTGTAAAAATAAAACTGCAAACTAGTTTCCTTTTGAGCATGTTTTCTCTGTTAAAGAACCTTCTGGTGAGTAATACGGGGCTATGGAGAAAAGGCACAATTTTATTATAGTTATTGATAAATGGTTTTTATCAGATGGTATTAAAGCGTGCATTTGTACAATAATATTGTTTAACACGAATAGAAGTTATAATTAAATGATTTACATTGATAATGTCATTTGTAATTTCCGACCGCAGTGGTGTAGTCTCACTAAACTTTTTCATTATCGGACTCATAACTGCTATGAAAGTGTGTGAAGTCCAAATTTTGTTATCATTATAAGATTTTCTTTCAAGAAATGTCATTTTTAAAAAATTTTTTTCAACGTTTTATTTTTTGCGAACGAGAGACAGAGTGTGAGTGGAGGATGGTCAGAGAGAGAGGGAGACACAGAATCCGAAGCAGGCTCCAGGCTCTGAGCTGTCAGTACAGAGCCTGATGCAGGGCTTGAACCCACGAACTGTGAGATCATGACCTGAGCCGAAGTCTGATGCTTGACTGACAAGCCACCCAGGTGCCCCAAGAAATGTCATATTTTTAAGCAGATTTTTTAGTAACTGGGAGGTTTAAAATAATCAGATTACCTAGTTAAAATTCGGAATTCTTTATGCATTCAAGAAAGTACAATACAAACAACTTAAATTTTGACCTGTAATTTCCGTAAGCTAGAACCTTAAATATTCAAGAGAGTCATTATCCAATTTAAGAAAATTAACCCTGGAAAAGGGCAAAGCTAAATTAGTTGTTCGTGGTTATTTAAATGGGCAAGATAAATAACGCCATTTAGCGTTATTTATTTAATAAGAGACTTTTTCTTTTAAGTTTATTTATTTATTTTGAGAGAGAGGGCATGAGTAGAGAAGGTGCAAAGAGAGAAGGAGAGACTCCCAAGCAGGCTTCACACTGTCAGCACAGAGCCCGATGCGGGGCTTGAACTCACGAAGCATGAGATCATGATGTGAGTTGAAATCAAGAGTTGGATGCTTAACTGACTGAGCCACCCAGATGCCCCAAGACTTTTTTTTTTTAATGTTTGTTTATTTTGAGGGAGAGAAAGAGAACACATGCGGGGGAGGGGCAGAGAGAGAGGAAGAGAGAATCCCGTGGGCTCTGTGTTTGCAGCGCTTGAACTAACGAACACTGAGATCATGACGTGAGCCTAAATCACGAGTTGGACCCTCAACTGACTAGCTGCCCAGGTGCCCCATATAGTGTTATTTATTTCTATAAAACCTCTTTATGTCTCTCCAACAGAGTCAGGATGCTATCACAGAACTAATGAATTTTTCTGTGAAGCATGACTAATTGATTTTTTAGTCTTAATTTACAGTTTCATAGTAATTCTAAATCATCTTTGAAATATATGATTTTTTGAACAGATTTAGATTTGCAGAAAAATTATAATTATACTACAGAGAGTCCCCATACATACTGTATTTAGTTTTTTCGGTATTAACATCTTATATTAATATGGTATGTTTGTTTCAATCAGTGAACAAATATCAAAATATTATTGTAACCAAAGTTCATACTTTGTTCAGGTTCCTTAGTTTTTATCTAATCATTTTTACCCCCAAATTTGGTATTTTGCAATTGAATAGTTTATTATTTTAGCTGGAAAGTAACTTAGTTTAGTATTTTGCCATTACTACTTAAGTGTAAGACATGGCTGATTATTATTTCTCAAATAAATGTGTTTTGTTTGTCTGACTCCTTTTTTCCTTAGCTTAAGAGGAAATATTTCAGTAAAAGCAGTTAAAAAAGAAGTAGAGAAGAAACTACGATGTTTACTTGCTGATTTACCACTGCCCCCTGAGCTACCAGGAGGAGATGATCTCTCAAAGAGTCCAGAAGAAAAGAAAACAACAACACAGTTACATAGTAAAAGGAGGCCTAAGTATGTGCTTGCTTTCTACCTGCTCTTAAATTGACCAGAAATGATTCTGGGTCCTCATAAAATCATAAAACACAAAAAAATTAAGATTTAAAATAATAAAAAGTATATTTACTCTTTAAACTTAAGTATATGAATAAATTCTACTAGAGTTTTGAAAAAAATTCATAATTCCCTGCATACCTATTCAAAACGACTAATAAAACTAAATTTAATTTTCTCTCATGGTTTGTAATGTATTAATTTCTTGGGGTATTATATGTTAAAGATAATTTCTATAATTAAGTTTTTAAATAATACAAAACACTGAAATTGGAGAAGGTGGAAGTCAGCATTCAGTGAGCCCAAACAAAATTAGTAATGGGCAAGCTGCTATGTTTTCTTTGCTTTTTAGCTCCATTTGCTCCTATAACTAAATACATTTTTCATTTTGCAAGAGGTGGAGTGGAAGAAGGTTTGAAATCTGTATCCTAAATTAGCTTCAAGTAAGTGCCTAGAGATAACTCCCTTGAAATGTGTTCATCAGTTAAGAAGTGAGCATGTTGATTTCTTTTTTTACTTCTACTTAACCAAGGGAAGGTGTGAGTAAGACTTTGAGTTAGATCTGATTTTAGAATTGCTGTTCAGGTGCCTCGTGTGAGTATGAGGCAATTTTCTAGTATAGAGTAGAAAACTAAAAAACATTTAAAAGTCTTTCTGAGTATTGTAGCTTTATTCCTTTACTTGAATTTCTATTACATACCAGAATATTGAAAGACTATTAAATTATGTATCTTTTGAAGAATGTCAGATATTTGTCATATATAACACACACACAGCCACAAAGTATGGATTCCTGAAAGTTGATTATATTAATACTTTTTTTACTCACTTGGACTAAACATCTTTCTAGTATTTCCATTTTTAAGATAATTTCATCTAGCTGTAAGTCTAAATTTGTCAGTAAGCTTTATAGTTAGATTTTTGGTAATGTTCATTATCAAACTTGCTTTTTGGAAGCATTTTATATATTTTGTATATATATAATATGTATTATATATATAGATGATGAATGAAAAGGAAAACTTCCTAAAGGTTGGTTAGAGAACTTTGACTCTTTGTATCAGTGTTGGTTTTATCCACTCATTGAAAAATTACATTTTGTTAATCTGGAAGTTCTTCATATAAGCCTTAGTTCTTTTTCCAGTTTGTTAGTCTATAGAAGAGTCAGCATGGAGAAATGATGCCTTGACTTTCATGATAATTTATAATACTTTTTGGGAGAGGGTGGATATTAAATATTAAACAGTTTATTCAACTTGCTTGATTGTATATAAAAACTTAAGAACTATATTTGATAGAATATGTGGGCCTCGCTATGGTGAAATCAAAGAAAAAGATATTGACTGGGGAAAACGCTGCGTGGATAAATTTGATATCATCGGAATTATTGGAGAAGGTACCTATGGACAAGTTTACAAGGCCAGGGATAAAGACACTGGTAAGTATGCCAAATACTGTGGATCTTTGGATCTATTGAATGTACTTAATTTGTGTTTTTTAAAGTGGTTTTTTAGTATTTGTGATGTGTAGCATGGTGGGATTTAGATTTCTTTAATTGTGAATAAATTCTTACATTGTTAGTAATCGGGGAAAAAAAGTATCTTGACCTTAATTAGCCTTAGTACTAAATTTTGTTGTATTAAGCCTTATGCAACACTTTTTCTTTTAGCAAAATATTCTTTTTTTCTGTCAAAGTTATCCTTTGGAGGCCATATTTGGCAGCTTAATCTTTTAGAACATAATCAGGAACCTGTGAGACAGTTTTAAAGGTTTTGCAGCCAGTAAAAAGTAACTGTGCAGAGGCTACATATTTTACTAATAACTCTTAGAGCCAGTGTTTAATCTTTACTTATAATTCCTTGTTGAAATAAACCAATAGATTAAAATAGCATAGCTATTTGAAGCCATTTAGTATAGGGGAGACTAGACTACCTTATGCCTGGAAACTCTGGAACGCAGTTACGGCATACAGTAATACTATTTATACTGGTGATTCTGCATTATCAAAAAGAGATTAAATTGTAGCTTTTAAAAGCTGTTTAACAAATAAGGCATCATACTTTATTTTAGACTTCCATCAAAAAGAATTAAATAAGTTTTAATGATTAAAAGTATAAACATCCTTCTTTTGGAAAATTTGTAAGTACAGAATTCCTTTTTTTCTCCAAAGAAGAAGAATGAACAAACCTTTTTTTCTAATTTTTTTTTTTTAACATTTATTTATTTTTGAGAGAGACAGAGCATGAGTTGGGGAGGGGCAGAGAGAGGGAGACACAGAATCTGAAGCAGGCTTCAGGCTCTGAGCTGTCAGCATAGAGCCCTGTGTGGGGCTCGAACTCACAAACTGAGATCATGACCTGAGCTGCAGTTAGACACTCAACCAACTGAGCCACCCAGGCGCCCCAACAAACCTTTATAATAGTGAACTTTTACTTACAGGATTTGTGTGTGTGTGTTCTTTTAATAGTGAGATCTTATCTGAGACAGTACTCACTCATATCTGAATTATAAAGTCGTTTAGTGTAGTGGGAAGAGCACATACTTTTGAGATAGCTAAAACAGATTTTGAATCTATGTCTCACTGCTGGGCTGGGCAGCTTTGGACAAGTTAATATGTCCTAGCATATTTTGTCACCTGCTTAATGTATAGAATCTTCTCATCTCTTGAGAGATTTTATGCATGTATAAGCATATTATATAAATTTAACCTCCTCTCTGTTTTTTTTTTTTTTTTTTTTTTTTTTTTTTTTTTTTTTTGAGGGAGAGAGAGCATGAGCCGAGGGGTGGTGGTAAAGGAAAAGGGAGAATCTTCAGCAGGCTCTGTGCTCAGTGTGGAGCCCAAAACAGAACTTGATTTCAAGAGCATGAGATCATGACCTGAGATGGAATCAAGCTGGACAATTAACCAACTGAGCCATCCAGGCATTCCATCCCCTCCTTCACTTTTTAAAAATGGTAGTGTAATGCAGCTACTGTTCATCATCTTGCTTTTTTCATTTAATATATTGTACAGAGCATACAGTAACAATACTTATGGACCTACCCCATCCTTTTTAACAGTTATATAGTATTCCACAGTTTGGATAATTTAACTAGAGACTTAATTTCTTGAGCTATGAACATTATCATTGGTACTTTGAAAGCTAAAATATATTTTGTGAGTAGTAAGAGGTAGGAACAGAAATTTTGAATTAAAATAAAGTTAAAATTAAGAAAAATGTCATTTGGTTTTGTCAGCTGCTAACTTGATTTTACTTAATTTTTATAGGAGAAATGGTAGCCTTAAAGAAAGTACGTCTAGATAATGAAAAGGAAGGCTTTCCAATTACAGCAATTCGAGAAATTAAAATTCTCCGGCAGCTTACCCACCAGAGTATTATCAATATGAAGGAAATAGTGACTGATAAAGAAGATGCTTTGGATTTTAAGAAGGATAAAGGTATGTGTGCATATTTACATAACCAGTTCTGCATACACATGATGTTGCTAACTTACAGATTTTGTCATAGGTATTAACTATATGAGTAATTACTAGGTACATAAAACTATTGCATTAATATCATACTCTGTTTTTAGATGTAGTTGAGTTGAAGAATTATTTATTTACTTTAGTGATATTTGAGTCCCCTAAGAAACAAAACATATTTATCAGTATTACACATATTTAGTAGTAGTAGTTTTTTGGAGCATCAATGTATAATTTTTAATCTTCATTTTTTAGTTATTGAGAAGTAGTTTATAGTAGTATAGAATATATGCTTATCTTACATTTTTTAAATGTTTTAATGCCTTAACATATAAGGAAACTTTATGGTAGGCATTTATGTTATTTCTGAACATGTGGAGGCAAAATCTTACCTGAAATTGCCTTTAATGAATTATAGTGGTATATGCTTTTAGCAGAAAAACTAAAAAGAAATTAGCATGCTCATTAAAGTAGTTATCATAAGGCATATGGTAGGTAAAAGGCTCTACTTCCAGTAGGTTTTAGGATCTTTGAGATTTTGGAACCAAAGTTGACTTCATTATAACCTGTGGTTTTCAAAGAGCAAAATTCTTTTTCAAATCTAAGATAAGATAGATTAAAATAGGTGTTCTGATTGAACATGGTACTTAACCCCCTCCCATCCGCAACTGTACACACACACACACACACACACACACACACACACACACACACAATCTTAGTCTTCTGGGGAACAGTATAAAAAATGAGTGACTTAATACATAATAGTTATTTTGTAGAAAGGAACTTCTCAAAGTATTCTGTATGCACTATGTAGAAAATTTGAATTTTTTTTTTTAAATTTTTTAAATGTTTATTTATTGTTGAGAGAGAGAGACCAACAGAACGTTGAGCGGGGGACGGGCAGAGAGAGAGGGAGACACAGAATCTGAAACAAGCGCCAGGCTCTGAGCTGTCAGCACAGAGCCTGATGCAGGACTTGAACTTGTGAACCATGAGATCATGATCTGAACTGAAGTTGGACGCTTAACCGACTGAGCGGTTAAGCCCCTAGAATCATCTTTTTAATTGATACCACTTTCATTAGTTGTTGTCCATAATAACACCAATATTCCTTAGCTTGATTTTAATCCAGTTTATATTATTCATCATTTCTTATTGTGTAGTAGAAAGGATACTGGTTTGACTTGTGTTGGAATGTCTGAGATTTGTGACTTTGCTTACGAGCAGTACAACCTTATTTGCAAGATCTTTAGCCCATCTGAGCCCTTGTGACCTCTTCATCCATTAAAGGAAACATTATTTTTCTTACTGTGTAGTAAGGATTAAATTAAGATCTTATATATGAGGGTTGTATGTAAATATTTTTCATTAATGTCATACTATAGCCAAAATTAATATATTTGTTCTTCCTCCAACATACCCTGAACCTCCTGCTGCTTTGATTTGTGGGATCATATCCCTGCCTATTTCTTTAACCCCATCTCTGCCATTTTTCTGATTGTCCACCAAGCTTCAGTCATATAGGTCACATATGCCAATGCACTTCGCTGCCTTAAAGTCTTTACATATGCTGCTTCCCTGGGCTTAAACCTCTCTACCCTCAACACACACATGCATGCACGCATGCACACACGTGTGCACACACAATTTGAAAGACTGTTTTCTCATCCTCTGGGTCACAGACTGAATGTTACTTTATTCATCAGTGAAGCCTAACCGGATGGACCACTTTCAACTGAGTGGAGACACAGGCAATTTAAAAGCCTTAGTTTTTTTCTTCATAACTTTTTCCAGAATAACTACTGATTTGTTATTTACTTGTATCTCCATATGAGAATGGGAACCATACCTGTTTTATTCATTATTATAACCCTTACCTAGCTCAGTGACTAGGCCATAGAAGGTACTAAATAACTAATTGCTGGATTGGTAATTAAACTCTGCTTACTATAGCCTGTTCATACTTTAATACTTTTTTTGTTTTAATTTTTTTTTAATGTTTATTTATTTTTGAGAGATACAGAGACAGAATGTGAGTAGGTTAGGGGCAGAGAGAGAGACACACAGAATCCTAAGCAGGCTCCAGGCTCTGAGCTGTCAGCCCAGAGCCTGATGCAGGGCTCGAACTCACAAGCTATGAGATCATGACCTGAGCCGAAGTCGGACGCTCAACTGACTGAGCCACCCAGGCGCCCCAATACTTTTTAAAAGAATACAGTAGTCAGAATTTTCCTTGTATCATATTTATGGTCCTTATTTATTTTCCTTACTGGATTATAAGTTTCCTCAGTCCTTTGTTTTTTGCTTTGTGTTTTCTCCCCCACAATGTCTATCACCATATTTTACAAACCATAGATTTTCCTCTCTTTGCTTCCTCATCTTTTCCCCCACCATAATCCTGTTTGTAATTGTTGGAATCATGATACATAATGTGTTTTACTGTGGGGAAGTTACATTTAGATGCCAGCTATTAAATATACTACAGTATGTCAAGGAGTGTGGAATTTAAAACCTAATCCTCTTTCAGAATTATTTATTTTATTGAGGTAAAATTGACATAACATTGTATTAGTTTTAACAGTATAATGATTTGGTATTACATATATTGTGAAATGAGCACCGTGATAAATCCAGTTAACATTCATCACTACACAGTTACATTTTTTTTCTCGCGATGAGAACTTTTTTTTTTTTTTTGAGAGCGCACATGAGCTGGAGTGAGCATGAGTCAGAGAGGAGCAAAGGGAGTGGGGAAGAGAGAATCTTAAGCAGGCTCCATGCAAGCATGGAGCCCAGCACCGGGCATGATCTCACAACTCTGAGATCATGACCTGAGCTGAAATCAAGAGCTGGATGCTTAACCGACAGAGCCACCTAGGCACCCCATGATGAGAACTTTTAAGATCTACTGTCTTGGTAACTTTCAAATATACAATACAGTATTATTAACCGTAGTCACCATACTGTGTATTACACCCTCATGCACACAGTTATTTATTTTATAATTGGAAATTTCTATCTTTTGATCCCCTTCACCCATTTTGCCCACCTCTTGTCCCCTGCCTCTGGCAACCAGTCTGTTCTTTAGATTATCTATGAGTTTGGGGTTTTTTTTGTTCTTGTTTTTGTTTTAAATTTCACATGTAAGTGAGATCATATGATATTTATCTTTCTCTGTTTGACTTCAGGGCACAAAACCCTCAGGGTCCATCCACATTGTTGCAAATGGCAAGATTTCCTTCTTTTTTATGGCTGAATTATATTATACCATATAGTTATGCTACATTTTATTTATTCAGTCATCTTTTGATAGACACTTAGGTTGTTTCCATGTCTTGGCTGTTGTAAGTAATGTTGCATGGGGGTACATGCATCTTTTTGAGTTAGATTTTTATTTTTTTTGGATAAATAACCAGAAGTGGAATTGCTGAATCATATGGTAGTTCTACTTTTAATTTTTTTTTTTTTTAAATTTTTTTTTTCAACGTTTTTTATTTATTTTTGGGACAGAGAGAAACAGAGCATGAACGGGGGAGGGGCAGAGAGAGAGGGAGACACAGCATCGGAAACAGGCTCCAGGCTCCGAGCCATCAGCCCAGAGCCTGACGCGGGGCTCGAACTCACGGACCGCGAGATCGTGACCTGGCTGAAGTCGGACGCTTAACCGACTGCGCCACCCAGGCGCCCCTCTACTTTTAATTTTTTGAGGCACTTCTATACTGTTTTCCATAATGGCTGCACCATTTTACATTCCCACCAACAGTGCATGAGGGTACCCTGTACTCCTCGCCAATGCTTATTTCTTGTCTTTTTTGATAATAGCTATTCTAATAGGTGTGAGGTGGTATGTAATCCTTTTTCAATGAATCTATTAAATTTGGTTTGTTTTATTTTAGAGAGAGACAGTGTATGAGCAGGGGAGAGGGGCAGAGGGAGAGAGAGAGAGAGAGAGGGATAATCTTAAGCAGGTTCTACACTCACAGCAGAGCCCAATGTAGGGCTCGATCCTACAACTCTAGGATCATGACTTGAGCCAAAATCAAGAGTTGGATGCTCAACTGACTGAGCCACCCAGGTGCCCCATGAATCTATTCTTTCTGGTGAGAACCACGATGATGCAGACTGATTTGGTGAAAAGGAAACTAGATCTGAAGTCTTTGGGGTCTAATCCTGATCATGTTAGCTGTGTACCATTATTCCAATTGTGATTGCTGTCCTGGAGCAGAAAGACAGTATGGAAACTTTGATTTAATATTTTATATTAGAATTGATGAAACTAAAACAACAAAATAAAACCAAATACTTAACAGTAATTTAAATTTGAAAATTGTAAACAACACAAAAATCAAGTAAAATTGCTAACATAATAATATAAACTTTGCGCCTGAGTGGCTCAGTCTGTTGAGTGTTGGACTTTTGGTTTCAGCTCAGGTCATGATCCCAGGGTTGTGAGATCAAGCGCAAAGTTGGCCTCCGCTTTGAGTGTAGAGTCTGCTTAAGATTCTCTCTTTTGGGGTGTCTGAGTGGTTCAGTAGGTTAAGCCTTTGACTCTTGACTTTGGCTCAGGTCATGATGTCATGGTTCGTGAGTTCTAACCCTGTGTTGGTCTCTGTGCTAAGGCTACAGAGCCTGCATGGAATATTCTCTGTCTCTGTCTCTCTGTCTCTCTCTGTGTCTCTCTATTCCTTCCCCTCCCACCATTAGTTCTTTCTCTCTCTCTCAAAATAAATAAATTTAAAAAAAATTTAAAAAGTAAAAACTTAAAAAAATATAAAAACATAGTAAAAACAATATATATAAATATATAGTGTAAATATAATAAATAATATAAGTAAAATCAATAAATATAAATAAAATAAAAACAAATATATATAAAGATTTGCATTATTATAACAGAAGCCATAGCACAAAGCACTTGGCTCTACTTCCTTAAGAAAACAGGGTTAAGTGGTTTCCATAAGTCATAGGTG